TAAAGGGCTATGGATGATTGACAAGACGTTGCAATGTAGGGTTAGTAATGCCATCTCTGTGGTTTCCAGGATGCTGCCATAGTGTGTGTTTCAAAGGCATTCTATGGGGTCACCAAGATAATAAATGGTTTGGTTTGCCATGTTGCTTGAAAATGTACTGTATTCAGAATAGCTGGCAGGATGTCATCATGTGGTTTCTGTAGTTTTTTAAAATGTTGCCATGTAGTTGCTCATAGGGGATAAACATGTTATATCAGATCCTTAATTTCAATCAAACAAAAGAAAATAGGAAATTAGAATTAGAATTTGTATTAAATTGAATTGATTAGGGGCGACACTGGCTCAGTAGTTAGCACTGTCGCCTTACAGCAAGAAGGACACCAGCTCGAGTCCCGGCTGTCTCAGTTGGCATTTCTGTGTGGAGTTTGCATGTCCTCCCTGTGTTTGCATGGGATTCCTATGGGTGCTCCGGTTTCCCCCAAAGTCCAAAGACATGCGCTATAGGTGACTCGAATAAACCAAATTGGTTGTAGTGTATGTGTGTGCATGTGAGAGTGTGTGGGTGTTTCCCAGTACTGGGTTCCAATTGGAAGGGCATCCACTGTGTAAAACATATGTTGGATAAGCTGGATTTTATCTTTTTTTCCATCGCTTGGTTATTTTTTACTTGAACGTTTTAATTAAATCTTTTTAACTTCTTTTGTAACTTCTTTACACTTTATTTGTTTGACTGTTTTAAAGGGATTGATCACCCAAAATTTTAAATTCTGTCATCATTTCCTTAAACTTCACTTCAAACAAATACTAAAGAACTTAAAGCATTAAAAAATGTTGGAAACTGGTAACCAATGACTCCCATAGTGCTTTTCCTACTATGAAAGTCAATGTTTACCCACTTCTAAAAAAAATTAAATATGTTTTTATATTTAACAGAAACCACTTTTGAGTGAACTACCCCTTTAACAAAGATGGGAAACTATTGTGTTTATGAATAAATAACATTTGCATACTTGTGTAACCTTTTGTTAAAGTCAGCTTGTGATCTTTTCAACCAGTTACTAATGTGTGGTCACCAAGATAATGCTACATGATTGCTAACATATTCTGAGAGGAAAGTAATTGTAATGCAACTGTGATGAGCTTTGCTCCAGCGTTTAATGCGTACAAGCACAAATCAGCAAACACCACTAATTAGTCAAAGCAATTGTTTTCAGCCTTCTAAATAAGCTCAGCAACACATTTTGAGTAAGCTTTCGGCTCGCTGCCGTCTCCCGCTGCGAAGAAACGAGAGCGGGTCAAGAGCGAGACCCGGAGCAGGATTCTCACGCTGCTCTTGGACCGGCCGGGGCTCAGATAGCTCATGAGGTCCAAACACATCCGCGATTCTTCTGGCCCCTTCTCTCTGGCTGGGATGATAAACAGTGGCCCCCTCCTCTCCTCCGCACTACCCTCCGCACACCCTTCTTTTCTTTTTATCTCTTGTTATTTGGACGGCGAAGCGGGCTCGGGCCCAGAGAAACACAGCCGATGAATGGTGGGGCTGTGGGAGTGCGTTCTCTCAAATTGGGTGCAATTTGCTCACAGCCTCCCCCCCTGCTGCTCAATTGGGACATTCCATTGAGCGATCGGGGCGATCCTTGCCTCCCTCTCTAAAGAGAGTGTTCACATTCAAGAGCCCAAAGAAAGAGCGCTAGGAAAGAAAGAGCATTTCCTGTGTCATTTTCACACAATGCTGGGATGGCATATTTCTTAAACATGATGTGCCACTGGTTCACAGGTTACTTGCCGCTGGGTGTGTGGCAGAGTGATGGTGCCCTGTTACACACAAGCTCTGTGCTAAATGCGTAATAGTGGTCTGTTCCCCTTTGGGCAGAAAGTCCTCACCGTGTGAAAGCACTTCACGTCAAGTACAGATTAGCTCGCAATCTGCGTGTCTGATGATGGTTAAAATGGTGTGACCCGGGGGGATGTCTGTCGACTAGGTTTGTTAGCGGTTGCCTCATGGGTTGGAGGTTATCATCGAATGAAGAACTTTTTTTACTTGGATACCTACACTCTCAGAAATAAAGGTACAAAATCTGGCACTGGGGCAGTACATTTCCAAAAGGTACAGTTTTATTCCTGACAGGTTGTTAAAGGTATATATTAATGTCTAAAAAGTACAAATGTGTACCTCATAGTATCTTAAAGGTACACAAGAGTACCCGAAAGGTACGAATGTCCACCTGCATGGTACATGCCAGGCTTCCATTTCCACTGCCAATTTTATCCTTACTTGTTGTTCATGTTGTTCTACAAAAAGTTGCAATCATGTCATTCTCGCTCAAAGCAGTCAGGCCATTCATATATGTAGATGCTATGACAAATTGAATAAAAGAAAGCTACTCTCACACTTTCCACATTTTTAGTCACGACATGTGAACTGCCTCATAAACAACAATAGAGGACAAACAGCAGATCTTGTTCTTGCTTTTTGGCATTCAGCTGTTTGTCAAAAGAAGATGACAAGCTTTGTTTGAGCTCAGGGTCAACATAATTCACTAAAATCAGTGCACAGTTGATGTCAGAATTATTAGCCCCCCTAACTTATTAGCCCTGTTTATTTTTCCCCATAAAAATAAGCTCTTACTAGCCCTTTTTATTTTTTTCTGTTTAACAGAAATATTTTTTCAACATATTTCTAAACATAAAAGTTTTAATAACTCATTTCTTATAACTGATTTATTTTTTGGATTTATTTACTTTTCATGGCAAAGTATTTTTATTGTACTTTGCCATGATGACAGTACATAATATTTTACTAGATATTTTTCAAGACACTTCTTTACAGCTTAAAGTGACATTTAAAGGCTTGACTAGGTTAATTAGGTTAACTAGGCAGGTTAGGGTAATTATTCAGGTTATTTTATAACAATAGTTTATTCTGTAGACTATCCAAAAAATATAGCTTAAAGGGGCTAATCATTTTGACCTTAAAATGGTTTTAAACAATTAAAAACTGCTTTTATTCTAGCCGAAATAAAACAAATAAGACTTTCTTCAAAAGAAAAAATATTATCAGACATACTGTGAAAATTTCCTTGCTCTGTTAAACATTATTTGGAAAATATTTAAAAAAAAGAAGAAAAAAAATCAAAGGGGGCTAATAATTTAGACTTCAACTCTACATGTGATGTAATTAACCTATTGACCTTAGTCTTTAATGTGGGAATGCGCTCGTTTTTGAGATTGTTTTAGAACTTCAGATTCAATTGCCTATGGGAAAATGACTAGAAATTATAAACGGAAAAAACGGTCAAACTACTTGCTGTACAAACAAGTGTGTTCATGACAATACAGACAAAGCAGAATAATATAATAAGAAAATATCAGTTTGCAACATCAAGCAGCATAACAAACTTTTTAACGCCTAAAAAGCTAAAAAGCCTCAAATGTCTGCACCCACATGTACTTGAAAAATAAGGTGAATAGAAATCAATGGGAATCAGGCTCCTGTACCCCAAATTCCAAAAATGCATTGAGCTTTAATGGCACATTTCCATTCTCTATTATTAAGGTGTCAAATTTTAGCTGTGTATTAAACAATGGTGCTTCCTGTGTTATTGTTTCCGAAGCTTGTTACACGTGCTTGTTACGATTTTCTGTAAACCAATATTATTTAACAGTGAGTCTAGCTCCAAGTATTCAGAGAACTTAATGAAAAAATGTTTGAATGTTTGAATTCTCAGTACCACTGACAAATATGTACATACTTTGAGAAATAAGTAGAAACACAACGCTGAAAACACAACATTGTTTGTGTTTCATTTTCAGAGTGATGCTTAAGCAATATCTCCATCTGTTCTCCATTTTTATCTTACTATGTTATATACATACTGTTGAGGTCAGAATTAGCCCTCCTGAATAATTAGCCCCCCTGTATGATTTCCCCAATTTCTGTTTAACAGAGAGAAGATTTTTTTCGACACATTTCTAAACATAATAGTTTCAATAACTAATTTCTAATACCAGATTTCTTTTTATCTTTGCCATGATGACAGTAAATAACATTTTACAAAATATTTATCAAGGTGTTTAAAAGCTTAAAGTTCAATTTAAAGGCTTGACTAGGTAAATTAGGTTAATTAAGCAAGTTGGGGTAATTAGGCTAGTGATAACGGTGGTTTGTTCTGTAGACAATAAAAAAAACTGCTTAAGAGGGCTAATAAAATTGACCTTAAAATTATTTTTTAAATGAAATAAAATGGTTTTATTGAAGCTAACATTTTTAGAAGATAATTATTATAGAAATTTCACTGCTCTGTTAATCAATGTTTGGGAAATATTTAAAAAAGGAAAAAGGAGGGCTAATAATTGTGACTTCAACTGTATATTAAACGCGAACTAAAGAGATTGAAACTGTGATTTTCTTTCGTGTGGCTGGAACTTACATGTCTTAAAATCACATAAAAGCTTAAGGTTTCTCACAAAAGATAATGAGGGGAACGGAATGGGTGGGTATCCATCTTTTCCGTTTTATCAGTATCAGGAGACGGAAGGAAAACGCTTCTATGGCAACGTCTGCTGTGGCCAAACACACATCGCATCAATGCATGGTGAAGAGAGGTCACTGAAATACACTGAGGTTTTACCTCTCCAAAAAACTTATGCTGGATAAGTTGACGGGTTCATTCCGCTGTGACAACGCCAGATTAATAAAGGGACCAAGCTGAAAAGTAAATGAATGAATGAATGATAATGCATTATTTGCAACCACTTACCTTGGAAAATATAGTAAATCCAATTAATCTTTTTTTGTGACATGCATTAAACAAAATTCAGACTATTTATATTTCATCATACTTCTGTTTAATTCTGTTCCATTTTTAAAATTTGTTTTACTGTTGTTCATGAACCAATTAGTTTTATAGTTATTTTTTTTATATGTAAAAGTATGACAGTATTTTCACTCTGAATGCAAAAGCTCTAACATACTTTGATGTGTCTGTTTCTCTCCACAGCTGTCCAGGTGCACGTGCTGAAAGGAGACAAGGCAGGTGAATGGTGGAAATTCACCATCAACATCATATCGGTGTATAAGCAGGGTGGACACCGCATCCGCAGAGGAGACCAGCTCCTGTGGGTCAGGGCAAAAGACGTTGCCTGCAAGTGCCCCAAAATCAAACCCGGGAGGAAGTACCTGCTGATGGGCTCCGATGAGGAGGAGGACTCGCGTGGGCAGAGCGGTGTGGTGGCGGACAGGGGCAGCCTACTCATCCCCTGGAAAGACCTGTGGGCCCGTCGCCTCAGAAAGTTCCAGCAGCGCGACAAGAGAGGGAAGTGCTAGAAAAACAGAGAGGAAAAGGAAAGACAAAAATAATGAGCCGAGCGCCTGAAGCTGAGTGATCAGAACTGTGCTGAAGGACAACCAGTCGAGCAGTTTCGCCTTCCGTTGTTTAGAGTTTCTTTTTTTGTTCGTTTGTTTCCCATCAAGATTTTATTTTTTCATATCTTCAAGTTTGCAGAATTTGCACCTGCTATTAAGTATATGTAAAGTGGTATATGTGTGATCCTTACTGGTGTCTGTTTATGATTTCTGTCACACAAAAACATGAAGCAAGCTACTGAGTCAGTTTGTCTATGTGAATGTTTCCTTTTGGTTGTCAAGCGGACATTTTTAAAGTGCATCCAATAGGGTCCAAAAATCTGAGATCACAGATTTATATTCTAGAATTGGTAGGAATTGTTAGGCAACATTTTTTCTATGGTTTATTATTAGAAGTTATATAATCTGAGGTATTATACAGGCAGTCAACACTGGTTGCTGTTCAACATTTGCTATTTCAAGAAAGAAATCTGTCAATTAATTAATTCCAAGATGCTCCCAGGCCAACCGAGAGACATAGTCCCTCCCACATGTCCTGGGTCTTCGCTGAGGCCTCCTCCCGGTGGGACATGCCTGGAAAACTACACTACGTAGGCGTCTAGGAGTCATCTGAAAGAGATACAGAGCCACCTCAGCTGGCTTCTCTCGATGTGGAGGAGCAGCGGCTCATCTCAGATCTCCTCCAGGGTGACAAAGTTCTTCACACTGGTTGCACCCTGCCCCACTGCAAAGAAAAACTCATTTTGGCCACTTGTATCTGAGATCTTTTCCTTGACTCAAAGTCAACCATAGGTGAGAGTAGGAACGTAATTTGACCGGTAAATCTAGAGCTTTGACGTTCGCCTCAGCTCCTTCTTTACCACGACAGACCAGTACATTAACCTCACTACTGCAGCTGCTGCACAGATCTGCCAGTCAATTTTTCGTTCTATCCTTTCCTCACTCTTGAACAAAACCCCAAGATACTTGAACTCCTTCACCTGGGGTAAGGACTTTCCTCCAACCTGAAGATGGCAAACCACCTTTTTCTCATGCAGGCTCTCCATGCATGTGGTGCCCCATATGGCTCCCCCTGCAGGTGGTGGGCCTGCAGAAGGATGGTCCCACGTCGCTGTATGAACAGAGTAGTAGTTTGATTCATATTGCCGGCATTAAGTCAGACTTGTTTTCAGTGCATGTTGGACTCCGGCAGGGCTGCCCTTTGTCACCAATTATGTTCAATCTTAAAAAATAAAATTAAATAATATAAAAAACAATAATGTTATTAATGACCTTTTTACTAAACATTTAGGTGTCAAGGTTATTTCGCCCCAAATCCTCCAAAATAAAATTAAATGAATATTAAAAAATAATTATTGAAAATCTAAACTGTAATCAATTTTGTTGGATTGTAATCTCATTTCCCCAAATAAAATAATGGTCACTCAAAACGTTGCAGAAAAAGCAGAAATCTCTAAATAAATTAACAAACTCTTTCATAAAATAAAGTCCCACTCAAAATTTCAAGCTGATAATCCAATTTTTTATTAAAAAAAATATGTTTTAGGCAAATGCATAAAAAAAACGCAAATCATCAGTGCTCTCAGATTTCTGGACCCCTCTGAACATTATATGAAGTCTCATTAGAAAGCAGCATTTCCATAAGCGTGATTGAAATAAAGCCACTACAGATATACACTATTAGATAACCTTTCGCACTCCTTCCTTTTTGACAGAAAATCTGACAATACCTCACTGTTGCTGTTTAAAACAGCATGACATCATAACGACATCATAATGTTTATTTGTGTTGCCAAAAGCTCAATGCTGATCCTCTTTGGCCTTTGATACTAACTGTGGTGATCTTTAAAAATGTGCTGTAGTGCGAGAATAGTTATACAAATAGGCTATTGTTTTATAACCACTTTATTCGAACAAAACATGTTACCACTTCATGGTTTAAAAAATGTAAAGCAGAATCGTATTATATTCTCCAGATGTTTATCATGCAGTAATTCCCCAAAGTAGATTTTTTTATCATTAGGATTGTAAAAACGTTCTTCAGGAAATCGAGATGACTAGATTTGACTAGATAAAGACATTTTTTATATTCTAGATACTAAATATGACAGATACTGCATGTCATTGCTAAGGTTTAGCACTAAGCAATTAAGATTATAAAGATGCAACATCTTCACTGCCATATTTACAAGTTTATACAAATATAAGTTCACATCCTACCAAAATCAATCAGATAGAAATGGCTCTTATTATCTAAAGAAGCAAACAATTTTCTGTGTTATCGCTTATGTGGTACCTTCCTTTGCCCTGGTACTTTACTAAAGTGATATGCTCTACTGTTTTTGTATAGCTGTATAGTTTCTTTTGTACAATATTTAGTAGATTATATCCACATGCAATTAACCATTTTTATGCCATGAGCTTGATGTTCTGAAAATAAAAGAATATTTCTAGATTTCTTTGTTTACATGAGTTGATAGTGTAGAGAGAGGGTTGTATTATGTTTATGTGACATGTAATTACGCGCACACACACACACACACACACACATACTCTGAAAGTCTGACTATGAACTGGAAGTCAGTGACTACGGTTTGTTAAACTCACAGATGGTCTAGTTCTTTAAAGACACTCTGACCTCACAAGTAGACTTTGACCAGTTTTCCAGACATTTTGGAAAATTACTTTGAACTTTTTTTGTTTTTGTTTTTTGATGAAGACATTTTCAATGTTCATGGTCCTCCTGTATATGATGTTTTACTGTGTACTTTGCAAAAGCTGTGTATTGTCCTGTAATGCATACTAATATATTATGATTCTCATAAATGAACATATTTAATGATACATGAACTCATTTAGTGTGATTGTGTGTGTTTATTTGATTGCTTTTTAAACAGTATTTGGTTTTACATTTTTAAAAATAGCCATTAATCTGAAATAATTAAACTCAAGGTAAAAAAGACAGTTTAGTCAAATAGTTTACTATTAAAAATGTATTTAATTACATTGTGGTTCAATCATACAAAAATGAAAAAATAAAAATTGGGTCAATAAATTGTAGCAAAGCCAATTTTCTTGCATATATTTACAAATGCCTTTGCACTTTATGTAAAATGTAAACTTTTAAAATGGTCATACACATGAACATAGTTAGAATAAAATAATTATTTAAATGTATCATAATCCTAAAAATGGCATTAAACTAATGTTTAAACTAATTTAAATATACATTAAACTAACATTTAGATTAAACTAATATCACATTGTTAACATACATTAAACTAACAAACTTACATTAAACTAATATTACATTATTACATTAACATACATTAAACTAACAAACTTAAATTAAACGAATATTTAATAATAAACACAATATTTTTATTCTAACATCAAACTAATTTTTCATATTCTAACATTAAACTAATATTTAATAAAATAATAACAATTTTATTAAAGATTTAAAAATTATATAGAAGCAATTATCCATATGGATGTATTTTGTTCTTATTTTAAAAAATATTTTGTAAATAATTGTAATAGCAAATATATGTAGTAACTCATTTCTAATAATTGATTTCTTTTATCTTTGCCATGATGACAGTAAATAAAATTTGACTAGATACTTTTCGAGACACTTCTATACAGCTTAAAGTGACATTTAAAGGCTTAAATTAGGTTAAATAGGCAGGTTAGGATAATTAGGCATGTTATTGTATAACGATGGTTTGTTCTGTAGACTATTGAAAAATGTATATAGCTTAAAGGGGCTAATAATTTTGTCCTTAAAATTGGGTTAAAAAAAACTAATAACTGCTTTTATTCTAGCCTAAATAAAACAAATAAGACTTTCTCTAGAAGAAAAAATATTATCAGACATACTGTGAAAATTTCCTTGCTCTGTTAAGCATCATTTAAGAAATATTTTAAAAAGAAAAAAAAAAATCGGACTTCAACTGTATGTACTGTATAAATGTATCATTGTATTATATAGTATATTAATGTACAATGTATTATCATTTATTATTTATTATAAAAGTGACATATTACAAATAATCATTATAAATGTAGACAAAATACAACTTAATAATAAATATTATCAGTACTAGTAATAGTAATCTAAACATTTTACAAATAAAAATATAATTTTAGACTAATTAGAAATATAACAACAACAATTCTAACAAACAAATATAATATAAAACTTTTATTTTGTATTTTACTAGTAGCTATTCATTCATTTATTTTATTTTCGACTTTGTCCCTTTATTAATCTGGGGTCGCCACAGCGGAATGAACAGCCAACTTATCCAGCACAAGTTTTTATGCAGCGGATGCCCTTCCAGCTGCAACCCATCACTAGGAAACATAAGTAGTAGTTATACAAAATTTTAAAAAATCTAAGGGACCCAATGACAGAAATATTTGGAAATGTAAATAAACAGTACAAATGTAATGCCTAATATTGTAAATATTCAATTTTACACATACCAAATGCCAGAATAGTAAGCCAAATTAAACACAACCCAATACATTGAGTGCCACACAGAAGAAAAACCTATTAAATGGAAAGCAGCGAGTTTGTGGGAACAATAAACGTCACAAGTAGGTAAAATACAGTTCTGCTTTTGTGACAAAAATGCCAGCAGCAGATGTGATAAGCTGCATCATCATTTACTTTGGCTCTCTGGACCTCAATAAAAACCTAAACCTTTCAGGAGGGCTTCAGCATGTAAATGGCAGTGTGTGTTTACTTTAGATTATAAGTAACCTAGTGATTTATCAAACGGCTAGTAGTAACAGGGTGGGCACTCAGTGGCTATTATATTCAGATGAAAACCAAGCCATAGCCTAATAAATCTAAAATGGTCTTTATCTTCTTTTTTTCCAGAGATATATTACATTTATGCAAAGTTATGTGCACATACAGTATACACAGTGGTGTTCAAGACTTCTTGGTTTTTTCTGGTTGATGGATGATGTGATGTAAATTTGCAATGCTAATCAAAAATAACTGCATCATTCTGTGATTAAATAAAAACACAAATGATTTTACAAGTTATTTCAACTGTCGATTGACACTATAATGTCACTGGCAATGTGAGTTGGAAGTAAAAAAAAAGCTATAGTATATTGTTATTCTCCTAACTTGTCATAAATACAATTACAATTAAATACCACTTAAACAATGGCTATCATAAAAAAGGATTGATTTCAAAATTGATTGTCACCATTTAATATTAACAGAAGAAAAAATAATACAGCCTATGTAATCTGCTTTGATCAGCAAAATTCTCACCTTTTGGTTTATTTTTCTTTGCAAACGAAGGCATTTTGGATTTTTTTTAATTGAATGCTTAAATAACATTATCAACAAACTTCATTAATCAAACAACAGCAGTACAGGGGATTTAAGTCATTTAGTCTAAGACAAGTGCCATGTCCTTGTTTGTGTTGCTTTTAGGTCCGTGTATCATCCGTTCATTTGATTATTCCTTTTATTACGGAAAACGAAACATCAGAAAAACGATGAATATTTCGTTTTTCTGTTTATTCTGTAGGCAGAAAAAACGGAAACTCATCTGTTATTCTGCTTATTAACTTAAAACGAAATATTAAAACAAACACAAAACCAAAACGAAATAATGAGTCAAAATATGGTCCGTGTTCATTTGTTTCCCATTTTCAAACGGAATAAAGGAAATGGAGAAAACGGCCGTTTTTCCGTTTTTCTTTTGCTCACGAGAAAACGAAAAAACGAGATTTTGGCTGGATTTTCGTTTTTTGGTTTAGGGTAGGAAAACGGATAAACGACTTTAAAATTCATTTTACACATGTAGGCGGTGCTGAAACGCCCACTTTCCTCTAATTGGTTAACCAAATCTGCGCTCGTGACGTCACCCTCAAAATAAAAGCCTTACACGCAGGCTTTTAATTATTATTATTTAATTATATATATAAACAAAGTTTACATATTCTATCATTTGAACCACACACAGTTAGCAGGCTTACATTCATTGCGTATGTATAAATTAAATAAAAACGTAAATCAGCAGTATTTTTAGACATTTGTCATTAAAATAAGGTCATAGTTCACTGCCAAACTTCTTGCTGCTGTGCACCTGATGCAGAGCAAAGAAAGCCATTTCCGAGCAGCACCTGGTTTACATGATTGTTTCAGAGCAAGGGCTTTGTAATAATAATAATAATAATAATAATAATAATAATAATAATAATAATAATAATTATTATTATTATTATTATTATTATTATCAGTTACTAGTGTTTTTATTGTTTGGTGTGATTTTTTTCTTTTTAATAGTTGTTACCAGAACCAGAATAAGAACAATTTGGGCCCTGCTATAAAAACAAAGGGTACCATTTGTTTTCATTTATTTCTTCCTATTTTAATTATATATTGTAATTATTTATTTGATAATTAATACTATTTTATTGCAACGCCAAAGTAGGCCTGTCTTATTATTTTTTTTATTATTAAATTTGCTGTTATTGTAGGCTAGATGGCAGGCTTTAAATATTTTAAATAACATTTACTCATAACCTTACTAATTCGAGAGCCGAACCTAAAAAAGTTTAAGTGCAATAAGCCTGTACAATAAAGGGAGCCGCAATGCATATTTCTAGCGCATTCTTTCACTCAACAATTATTGCTGGAAAAATGAAATAAATTTCAAATTAACCAATTAAACACATTATAGTTGATAAAAAAATTGTGTCTAGTAGTTCCGACAAACAGATGAGCTCGCTACATGTGCGTTGCGCTAATAATTTGACATTTGCTCTTCTTGAGAAAGTGCTACAGCGGGCCCTGCTATTTCACATATAAGGTTAGTGATACGTATTTTAAATTAGTATTGCACATTATTCATTCATTTTCTTGTCGGCTTGGTCCCTTTATTAATCTGGGGTCGCCACAGCGGAATGAACCGCCAACTTATTTAGCAAGTTTTTATGCAGCGGATGCCCTTCCAGCCACAACCCATCTCTGGGAAACATCCACACATACACACACACTTATACAGTATGGACAATTTAGCCTATCCAATTCACCTGTACAGCATGTCTTTTTACTGTGGGGAAAACCAGAGCACCCGGAGGAAACCCACGCGAACGCACAACACTACTGAATTAGACACACAATCTCAAAAAAAAAAACTTGATGCTTATTTACATTATCTAAAGTCATTTCTGAGGTAGGATCTGTTGTTGTATTATATATTTTCGTTTTAATATGCAAATAATTTTCTTTAATTTGTAATAGGTCCCTCATTGCATAAAATAACCAGCCTTTGTATTCAATATGTTTGTAAATTGTCCATCCAGTTTGACGCAAGCTAAACAACATTTTGGCCTGTTTTGCTTATTAAATGAGTGATTTTCAGGAGAAACAAATCATCCATCCACACAGTTTTGTATAGGACCTGTGTGAACAAAAATGTACACTTCATCATAGCCTATAGGAAAATGTATCTGTTTAGAACCAATTTTGTGTTGTATAATTAAAAATATTAAAAATACAATAAAAATAAAAAGAAGGAATAACATTTGAAGTGCAATGCTTCAAAGATCCAATACGCTGCATGCAGAGCCAAAACAAAAACTGGTTTGTTTGTTTGTTTAATAAAATAATAATATGAAATTAAAGTGAAATAGTTCCATAACCTGTATTATAATTGTAGTCACCCTAGATGACAAATCATCCGTTGCGCCGGTCAGTTTCACCTTTAATCAAGAATGTGCCAGAACCAAATGAGAATATTTACAGATTACCTCGGAATGAGATCTCGGTCTGTGAAGGATGCAGAACACAGAAACTCGCTGAGAATGGAGATG